GACAATTATATAAGCGCTAAGGAATGTTAAAGTTACGACGTTTGACTATGGAGTTGAGATCATCTCCAATAGAGAAGCTAAAGCTCCAAAAGTCAAAAAATAGTTTGAAATGCCAAAAAACTAATCTTCAATAGATGATTAATCTATGGGCAATGGGAAGATACCCAGAGATATGGGGGGCAGATGCTGAGTGTTTTAAGCCAGAGAGGTTTCAGGGTTCTTCTGTTGACCTCAAGGGTTTTGACTTTACGCAAGGAGTGACGCTGCATATCATTGAGGCTGTGCATGGTGTACTAATCTGCCCATTAACCAATCTTAGTGAAATGATTATTGCAAAATCTAAAAGAAATGGGAACATACATCTTTCATATTTGAAAAGAAATGATAAGAAAAGGTGGTTGGCCTTTGGGATGCTTTTTGTGTGCATTTTGTGGTTTTTTAGAGGACTCAAGATTGCATCACACTAAGCAAGAAAATCCTTCTCTAAGTGCATGTAACATATTCATGGACATATTGGACAGATGGGCTCCTGTATTCTTTGGTGTATCACGTGTTTTCATATAAGTGGTGAAAATTTTATGGATATTGCTTAGTTGGAGCCTAGTTATTGGGTATTTGTTAGAGAAATTTACCATGACTGGACAGCTTGGGCTATAATTCTACAAGCCCAATAAACCATTATTTAGCTGAAGGCGCATTAGGTTGGCCAAGTGTAGGCCACCTCTCAGCCCTTTTTAGGACAACTCTTATGATGCAATAATTAATTTAAATTCAACGACTAGATACAAAAACATTCAACGGTAGTTTCATTAAATTAATCAACAAATTCAAAGTATAAACTGAAAATTAATAAATTATTGAAGAGACTATATTTAACTCTTTCGGTTGGAGATGGTGTACGAGTATGATATAACAATGTTCATTTAAAAATAATTTTTTGTAAAACTATAATCTGGATGGGTCTATGTTTAGCCCAGTCTATTGGAGATGGCCTCAGAGCCTGAGAATTAGTATGTAAGGCCATCTCCAACTGAAGAGTCCAGAGGGTCGAAAATAACCTGAAAACTGTCTCCAACCGAGGGCTAGGCCAGAGGGCTCGTGGAATCTGAGAGGGCCCCACAGAATCTGAAAGGGCCAAAGCGTTGGAGGGTTCGGGGCTGGCCAGAAAAAAAAAAACATTAATCCTGTCGATTATAATCGACATGAATGCTTAAACAAAAATTCAAATGCAACGGCTAGCTAACGTCAACTAGCCGTTGCATTTGAAATTTTTTTTATACAATTTTTTTATTATTTTTTATTTACAAAATTTTTCCTATAACTTCTATTTTTCATATTTTTTTTTAAATTCTATTTTTTTCTTATAACTTTTATTTTACAAAATTTGTTTCCTATTTTTTTTTTTAAATTCCAACGGCTAGCTAACGTCATGCTGACGTTACTTTGCCGTTGGATTTGAATTTAAGTTGTAGTTTTTAAATAATAAATTATGTTTGGCCCTATGACCCTTTGGCCTTCGATTGGAGACGGTTTTTTGTGACAGAGCTAAAACGAGCCATATAGCCTTCGGTTGGGGACGGAAGCAAATATGACATTGTACTGTTCATTAAAATATTAATATCTTGAAGGGCCAGATGACTTGTTTTAGCCCTCGATTGGAGATGACCTAATGATTGAAGACTTGTTCCACTAGAGCTTTTGAATTAAATAATTGAAACTTAAATTACAAAATAAACAAGAATGTGTAAAAAGAAAAATAAGGTGGCCGAAAATTAATTTTCCAAAAATTTTATACACACTAAAACTGAAAATTAAGAGAAACACTGTTCATAAGCACACGGTACTTCCGAAAATACCCCCAGTTTAAAGGTGTAATTTCAATTTTGTCTTGACCGTCGAGTTTGAATCTGGGACGTCCATTTTTTTAGACGCTCTGCTCAGTCCGTCCATTTCATCTTCTCTCCTGTCTCCGCTGAACACTCAACAGCGTGCTCTCTCAATATCACTTCCTGCTCGACATCGCTCCCTCTTTCTGGAGCTGCGCAAGTCGAAAACCCCTCCAAACAAACCCATAAACACCCCAAACCCACCACCAATCTCACTTCCTACATCAAGATTCATACCTTGCATGTACGATTTGGTGAAGGTTTGAAGGAGATTGAAGCGAATATCGCCACCTTCTCTTCTTGCTCAGGTAAAAGCCAACGACTTTCTCTTTCCGAATGCCTTTTTATTTTTTATTTTTGTCTTTGAGCTTCTGCTTTGTGGGTTTAAAACCGGGATAGGGAGATGATGTTGATGTGGGCTTCAACATAAAAAAGGTGAGGGAAAGGAAATCGAATTGGAATGATGCCGATGTATGGAACGTTATGCACTTGTGTCAATTTGTAGTTCAATATTTGATCAATTTACATTAACTCTCTGTATGAATCTCTGCACAATTTACAAGTAAACTGCCAAAAGGCTCTGAAATCAATACTATATTTCAAAGCCTTAAATTTCCATAAATAAAAATTCCAACATCAAAAAATAAATCAAAGTAATGAAGGAGGAAGGCAAAGAGAGGACAGACCTGGGTTTGAGGCACTTAAGGGATCTTTAGAATTCTGTAAAATACTTTGTGCCTTTTTGCTATTGGTGATGATTTTTCATGAATATAGTTGTTACAGGAGCAAGTTGTTTGACTAAAAACCTTAGAAGATTAACGGGAACTTGGGCTTTTCACCATAAACATTGCCTTTTTGTGTGATTGTTTAGTGTGTTTGAAGACCCTGTGTCAATATATCAAATTCTTATATCTGACATTTGTGGTATAGAAATGAAAAAGGGGGCACAAACAAAGAGAAAAGGAGAGAGGAAGATAAAATTAATTTTCAAATGAGAAGGAAGAGACCTAAATATATAGAAGTTTTAGAAACTAAAAACTGAAATATCAAAATGGCTTATCTTACTTAAACGGGCTAGCATGTGAAAATTAGACGGTCAAATAAATCTCAAGGGGTAAAAATTGAAATAGATGGTATGAATGGTTTTGAATTGCAATGTCCTTACATATTAGACCGATTTGGTTTGAGCATGATTGAATTGATTGCTTTGAGTATGAATGGTTTTGAAAACTTGGATTCATATGGGATTTAAGGTTTAGGGAATTTTTTGCTTGGATAAGGCAATACTCTTCAACTTATTTTCATTGTCATCAATCGCAATGCACACCACATATATTTTGTTCCTTCATTTTCAGTAAAACTACCATTTATTTACATTAACAAGTTTCATTTTTCCGATTTGTAACAGCGAAATGAAAACAGAAGAAAAAAGTTTTGAAGTGTCGATTAGTAAAGAAGAAAGTTCACTGCTGATCGGTATATATGTACCTAGAATATTTTGGAAAAATAAGCAGTTCAACAGTGCTCTAAACTTGCAAAATGTTATGAACCCCCACTTTTGGACACCTATTTTTTTCTTATTGTAAATAAGGTTGTAAATATATTTCCACATGTATGTAAATAGTATTGTCTATCGTATATATTTAGAACTTTCAACATGTTTTATACAGTTTTAAAACCCGCAGCATCGCGCGGTCAACTTTTGCTGGTTCTATATACTAAAAGAGAAAAACGCTTGAAAAACTGTTCATTCTACAGTGTCTTTTTGCTTTTGCCCTTCCTTTGTTTTTGTGGTTACTGTTCATTTTACAGTGTGATTCCGTTTTTACCCTTGCTTTAGTCTTTGGTCTTTTATTTCATTTTTGGATTCTTCTTTCCCACACTTACCACACCGTTTTAGGCCCTCTCCAACCGAGGGCTAGCCAGAGGGCTCGTTTTAGCCCCCTGGCCCTCCAAGATTCTCCAAGATATTAATATTTTAATGAATAGTACATGGCCATATTTGCCTCCGTCTCCAATCGAGGGCCAGAGGGTCAGAGGACTCGGTTTAGCCCTGCCACAAAAAACCTTCTCCAACCGAGGGCCAAAGGGCCAAACATAATTTATTATTTAAATTTAAAAACTACAACAACTTAAATTTAAAAACAACTTAAATTTAAAAACTACAACTTATATTTAAAAATTACAACTAAAATTTAAAAACGACAAATTAAATTTAAAAACTACAAATTAGTTTGACAATTCCCCCAATACTATCTTCCGACACCCATCTATAAGCCTTGCAAAGAGCTTCATCTTCTTTTCGGCTTCAAGCCCTACCTTTCATTGCAGAAGAGGCCATCTCAAAATTATTAAAAAAATTGAAGGATAGATTTTTGAAGAGGAAGGAAAATATGAGAATTGAAATGGTAGGAATGGTGAAAATTTTGTGGGGAATGGTTTAGGTATTTATAGGAAAAAAAATAGAATTTTTTTTTAAAAAAAAAAAGGCCCAAAAAACCCTTAAAAAAAAAAAAATTTTGAATCCAACGGTAACTGGCGCTAGCTAGCCGTTGGATTCAAAATTATTTTTAAAAATTCATGTCGGTTATAACCGACAGGATTTCCAGTTTTTCTGGCCAGCCCCAGCTAGCCCTCTCCGATTCTGTGGGACCCTCTAAGATTCCACAGCCCTCTGGCCTAGCCCTTGGTTGGAGACGGTTTTCAGGCTATTTTCGGCCCTCTGGCCCTCTGGACCCTTCGGTTAGAGATGGCCTTAGGCCATCTCCAACCGATGGTTGGCCAGAGGGCTCGTTTTAGCCCTTTGGCCCTCCAAGATTCTCTAAGATATTAATATTTTAATGAACAGTACAGGGCCATATTTGCCTCCGTCTCCAATCGAGGGCCAGAGGGCCATAGGGCTCGTTTTAGCCCTGTCATGAAAAACCATCTTCTACTGAGGGCCAAAGGGCCATAGGGCCAAACATAATTTATTATTTAAATTTAAAAACTACAACAACTTAAATTCAAATCCAACAACATAAATTTAAAAACTACAACGATAACTAGCCCAAAAAACCAAAAAAATTAGAATTTAAATTTAATGAATGGTTTAGGTATTTATAAGGAAAAAAATTAGAATTTTTAAGAATTAAAAAAAAAAAAAAAGTTGGCCCAAAAAACCAAAAAAAAAAAATTTGAATACAACAGCTAGCTGACTAGCCGTTGCATTCAAATTTTTTATTTAAACAATCCTGTTGGTTATAACGGACATGAATGCTATATTTTCTGGCCAGCCCCGGGCTGGCTGGTTGGCTGCTTGCAGCCAGCCCTCTAGCCCTCTCCGATTCCGTGGGGCCCTCTCAGATTCCACAGCCCTCTGGCCTAGCCCTCGGTTGGAGACGGTTTTCAGGCTATTTTCGGCCTTCTGGCCCTCTGGACCCTTTGGTTGGAGATGGCCTTAGTATCTCGACCCACCTTTTCTCTACCTAGCTCCTGCTCTCCCCGTCTCCCTCCTCGCCTCATCTCCCAATCTCCCATCGATTTACACTTAAATCTCATATGAATCTCCTTGGTCTCAAAGGTGTCCTCTCCTCCAAACCCAGAAAAGCTTTAGCCTTCCGACGACTCTGGGTGCCATAATCTAAGCAGTTCAGCAGCTAATAGGTATGCCTAATTTCACATTTCCGTATTGTTGGGTAGAATTGAAAGGACCCGAGATGGAGAGTTCTAATTTTTATTTGAATTGCATGTCACCTAGATGAAAAATTGAAAAGGTTTATGAATTTCGTAAATCGGGAAATACATTGGAAGTTACGCTGATAAAAGTTCTAACTTTTATTTAAATTGAAAGGAACCCATATAGAAAGTATGAATTTTTACTACGATTTTTTTTCATCTTCTCAAACATGATAAGTTATCTCGATCTATGTTAATTACCCAGTCGTTGAATTTGATAAAGAATGTGATTTTTTAGATGACAGAGTTATCTCAATAAGGAACAAAAGATAATTCATGTAGAATGTATTACCTAACAAAAGTTGGAGATTAAGCTATTTGCGTTATTTGATTATATTGTGGGTTATTGGTTAGAAAATTGCTGAATTTTGTGTGATTGTGTTTTCCATGAGGTTTGTTCTACGCAAATATCATGGTTTCAATTTTTCTTATGCTTTTTATTGTCGGGTAGTTCTTTCAAATAAGTTTTAGCTCTATTATTATGTAATTATTTGGAATTTGATGGTGTTTGTGTACTGTTGCAAGTGATTACCAAAAAATCACTTTCGAGTGCACAGGTAGGGAAAGGTCCTTAGTTCTCTGCTTTAAATCCTAACTAATGTATCATACGTAATCGTTCAATTGAGTTGTGCTTTCTGCAGGATGAGGATCTGTGCAGACTGATGGACTTGGTATTGCTTGGGGAGCAACATGTCAGGACTTTAATTATTTCTAAGTATTATCCAGTTTATAATATGGTGGAATAAATATTGGATGCCTGATGAGCAAAAGAAACAGAGGTATGTATGTCTTCTTATTAACATGGACTCAATGACGCTTGCTTCCATGTTGATTGGTCTTTCTGCTCTATCTTTCTACTATTTTAGTGGTTGGTCATTGTGTGAATTCAGATATGAACGTGCATTTTTAAGTTATAGAACATTACAAATTATAAATGTAGGATTAAAGTAGGTTTGGTTCTTCAAGACTCCAGCAAAGTGGGGAAATAACATGGTGTTCTTACAAAAATGGTTGACTGAAAATTAACATAAATGGATCTCACACAACTCTTTAGACATGATAAGCCTATTGTAGGAGTATGCAAGTCCAGAAAACTAATGTAGACATGAAAAAATCACTATTCAGATGATTGTTCGATGGAAGGAATATAAACACACACACAAATGAAGCGAGGAAGGTGTGGAAATTTTAGATTTACAACTACAAAAAGATAAAGAAGTTCCCTTAGAGCAAATTAAATGAAATTGAAAGAAAGAAGCACTACGAATATTTGAGATAAAAGTGATAATGGTGGTTGGGGTGTTAAAAATTGCATGTACCTTTCTGTTTTTATTGAAATGGTTGAAGAAAATGTGCTATACATGCATAGGTACCCATTTCTTTACACTTTTCGAAGATCTTATAAATATTTTCCTATATTTATGCTTATTGTTCTCTCAGTTAACAATTCAGCAGAAGAAGGTGTATATTTCCGTCAACCTTTATTCATACTTGTATGCTGAGAATAACTCTGTCGCCTAAACATTTTTATATTCTTTACTTTAATTTTGATACATACGTGCACTTATTTTTAACTAACCAAATGTATATTTTACTTTCAGATTTATAGCACAATGAGCATACCTCCAATCCACGTTTTGAAACCTTTTCAGTTGAACAAGAAGTTTGGAGTCTCTGTTCTGCATGTAAAGCTTCAATTTTCATATCAAGTTTTCGTTTGTATTTTGAATGAGAGAAGAAGCTGTAATTTGGGTTATAATTTTTCCCATCGCAGATTTACGAAGTTGGACCGAACTTTTAAAATATACTTCAGGATTTGGAAAAAAAAAATGTTGCTTTTTCTATATCAGGTTCTGAATTGCCCATACCATTTTTCTAATTAGAGAATATCAAGCACAATCCTTTTTATATACATAAAGTTTCCTTCTGCGTTGTTTTTTTGTTTTTGTGATTTTATTGTATTGTATTATGTAAGAATGCATGTTTTACTCAAGAGTTACGTATAAATTTTAGGTTTTTGTCCACATCTGATGGAAATATTTGTTCACATTCTGGACATGTTACATGTTATACAATGAGTATGGCTATGCAGCATCAATGAGGTTCCAATTCTTAGCTTCACAACGCGGGCGCATAGAACAGTTCACGGTAAGCAAATCATCAATTATCGTACTATTGTACACAACTATTACGCATGTTAGTAGGTGTGGAGAAACAATCACCTACTTTTAATTTTGCTTACACTTCTATTTCAACTTATTTTCTGGTTGAGCTGCTATGATATATCTCCTTAGAGTGTTGTTTTGTTTTTTTTATTAATTCTCACTAATTTGTCGTTATGCTTTAAGATTAATGTTTCAATTAGGTTATGTTTTCTGCGGAAGGAGGGTTTGCGCAGGGTGATGCACTTGCTATTCCCTAGGGAGCACCATCCTAGGGCTTTACGTATTCATCATATAAGCGTGATCCAGTTTATAACATGATGGAATGAATATTTGGTGCCTGATGAGCAAAAGAAGCAGAGGTAACAAGGAGTCATCATATTAATGGGGTACGTTGCTGGGGGACTTGAATGTACCAGCTTTAACTACATGAATAAGACACATTTAACCTAAAAAAATTCAACATAATCATGAACGAATAAAAGGGATAGATGAGTGAATGGTGTCGGTAACATAAGCAGTTCGATTTTTATATACATTCAACCGAGCTAATTACAAAATATATAGTTGCAAAAAATGCTCTATTTCCTTGAGAAATAGAAGCAACATGCATTTAACACTTATATTGCCCTTTAAGTTAAGATGGCAAAATATATGTCCTGCAGGCCAGGCACGTGTTTTAACAACTAAACAAAAAAGCAAAAAAAGTGTGTTATTCTTGTTTCAGCAGCTAATGTTTCAAGCATATGTTCAAAGCAAAAAAGATGCAGGATGCTTGTTTCCATAAGTCACAGAAGAAACAGAAGGAAGATGTAGTCCATACATATTTTGCCCCTGCAGTTAAGCTGACAAAATATATGTCCTGCAGGCTAGGCACCTGTTTCAGCAGTTAGCAAAAAACATAAAAAGCTGTTCTGTTGTCGTTTCAGCAAGTAAGTTTTCAAGCACAAATGTTAAAAGGAAAAAAACATGGAGAGCGGCTTTGTAGCAATTGATAATGGAGACTGCGAGCATTCATTTTTTCTGTGGGCGGACATCTTCAACACTATAGCAAAAAACATAAATCATAGTTTAGAAAACACTGGTACAACGGATGTTATGTAGGTGTGCGTGCGAAAAACAAATTGTAATATACCTATCTTTTGGTTTTTTTGGCTTGAGACTTTGTTCTGAGTGCGGCTATCGGCTCTTTGTCTGCGGGCTTAATGTTAGGGACAACCAAATTGTGGAATTCTCTAGCAATTAAGCAGAATTGGTTGTCTCTGTTTGCTCACTGCGAGGTTTTTTGCTGTGAATGAAGGTACAATTTATAAGGTCAGAGAGAAATGTGATAGGCATGGAAAAGAGTATGAAAGAGCGGTGTGAAAAGATTGCCTAATAGTTTTTGATAAGCGGCAAACCACATATGTATACCCAAGATAAACAAGCGTATTCATTAAGATTTACACATGAGATGATAATTGAGAAGATAACTTAACCTTTTAGATTTGTCTGTTTCATCAAGGAACAACGCTCTCTTTAAAGCCTTGGAAGGTGCAACTGATTGGGGTTGTTGATCTAGCAGCTGGGAAAGTGTCAATGAGGCGGGGGTCGCTTCACTCATAATTTGTTTTCCTATGGTAGCAGCAGGCGTTTCTGGCTCGACTGAGGTAATCGTTGTGTTCGAGGGCAGTTGATCTTGAAGCAGTCCATAAATGATGAAGTCCATCTTTCAGAAGTCACTGTTTTGACTCCCAAAAGAGAGCTGAAATCTCTTTGCCTCGCCGACCAAAATTTTCAGAGCCGGCGGCACCACGAAAGGATCCTCTATCACTAAAGTGTGGCAAGAAACATGAAGTATCTTTTCAGCGTGCTTCTTATCATGAGGAAGTTGTGCTGAATCGTGTTATCTGCCACTTTAAGATTGATTTTGAACCTATGCAAGGGTTAGATATTTTTATGTCAGGCAACCATTATTGCTAATACCAATCTGAAACTACAAATTGCCAAAAACATCTCTATCAAAAATTAAGACAGAAAACCAATCTCCCTATAGACATCACAAAAAAATGAAAACAAAGTTTACCCAAATGAAAATGGTATCACAAATCTCACATCTCTCCTTTTTTCCAGATGGGATACACAATGAATGCAAAACCATGGCAAAACCTGTGCTTGAATCAAACATATAGACAGTCAAATAATCCTCTAGATTTTAGCACAGCTTAACAAATTAGATAAACATAGATTCCAATTTAATCTTTTTCTACGCATTTTTTTCTTGCAACACTATCAGGTACCAAACACCACCAAAACTGACATCACCGATACACAAATAAGCATAGTGAGAGTGTGTGGGGCATATATAGAGCTCTAGAAATGGATTCAATCTGCCACTCTTAAGAACACTCAAGCAACCAAATCCCTAATTACTCAAGCAACCAAATTCAATATTTCTGAACAAATTAAACACAAATAAAATACAAAAAATTATAAAAATCAAATGAAAATAATAAAGCTGCAAAACTGAGCAGAAGAAGTTCAAGATCCGATTGAACAAAATAGCAAGATTGTACCTTTTCAAATTGAAGGGATCCATTGGATCCCAAACTAATAAACACGTGTAAATACTTGAATAAAGAATCTACTTAAATGTGCAGCAACCAACAACCAAAATGCATACCCCACACATGTTCTGGCCTAACCCCTTTATAATCATCAAAGACACTCACATTAAACTCCATCAAAATGACTTTGGAAACACCAAATACCCCCTTGGAAAGCCTTGAATTGAATATTTAACAACTCAATGCACCACTATGGATAACCCAGCACACAACGAATTATTTAAACAGTTTCAACCACAAATGTAAGGAGTGACAGTGAAACACATATATGATGTACACTTTCCTCCCGTTGTTTACAAAAAATGCACTACATTAATAAATCACTTTTCGGATTCAATGTCTTTTATCCAAACCTCCTGACCCCTTAGGTGATTTTTACTAGAGCCAACTTTCTTATTTAACCTGATTATGCAACAATGCTACATGCTTGCAAACCCCATGTATAAGCCAACAGGTTGTCGTCAATTAGTGTAACCACTACCTTTGGAATGATAACTTGACCAAAAGAAGTGTGGGTCTGTTACGAAAGTGACTGTGGAAAGCTTTTTAACATCGGGAATTAACTTCATAGAAGAACACAAAATAATACCATAATCCAGTGGATTCACATTATATATGATCCATTTCTTTAACAAAATAACAAATGTAGGAAAACGGTGATACCCCTTAGCAATTTTTGCGTTAATTTCGCATGCAGTGATGAGGGTTCGATGGCCCGACATCTATGGCAAGTCCAACAATTAGAACTCCAAATACAAAGACGCTTTCTTTACAAAAACAACTTCCAATAAAAATCCATGAGTGTTCCAAAACTTTTATCAACCAAACACACTCCCATCCATATGTACATTAGAGTGAATTCAAGAGGTTGTAGATTGAGTCATGAAGTATAAAGATAAACTGAAAAGCATTATTCAGTATAGCAAAATTAACGATTGATAAACACAAAAAAAGCAGTTTCATAACACATGCACACCGATCTTTCTATTAAGTGCAAAGACATATGTAACGCCAGTTTCGTCAGGCATTAAATCTTGTTGTTGCACAAAAGATTATAGGTATAAAAACATCATTAGTCATCAATTTTACAATTGCAAGAAATTCAAAAATGACTAAGCAACTTAATATAACAGTTAGATGTAAAACAGGTACAAAAGAAAATTACCATGGTTCGGGTAATCTATTTAACAAACCATGCTCATTGCACTTAAATGATCCAGACGCTTTCTTGACAGCTTTATGGCAAGACAGGCACGACTTGTACCACCAACCCCTAGTCAAATTGAATCCAACAACAGTCGCTTGGCATGCGAAACTTGCATTATGTTATGGAATCACAGGATTTTTAAATAATGACCATCACCTTGTAAACATGGAATATAAATGGATAAAGAAACAAAGCAAGACATAGCCAAGGAAGATGCACCACTAAAATTCTATTATTAAAAAGATGCGATTTTTGTTAACAGGTTGGTGATAAGAGACTAACCCTGTGTAATACAGGATCAAGCAGAAGCAACTCATCAATCGTTTGGGCTCATAATTAGGATTGACAGCATGGCTCGCATACATCTCAGCTGAGGTGGGCAGGATTCGAACATGCGATCTTTGATGCTCAAAACTGTTTAGTGTATGTCTAGGCTGAGAAAGATAAATCGAATAAATATAAACACCAAAGTCATTAAAGATGGGTTGTCAATTTACTTTTGTTGTCCAGATTGAAAACATAAACGATCGATCCCACGCTTCCAAGAACAGGGTTTCCTATAAATAAAACATAACAATCAACAAACTGAAGCTTTAAGCAGCTAAATAAAGCACGTCGGGGTATAACCTTGGTATTGTTTTACTTTGAGGCTTGTTAAAGCAACGAATACGGGTGGTAAAAGTGATTGTATTCCGCTATCCTCAAAACTTGTTGCAGCCTCTCCCCATAAGGTGATCCTAATTGTTTCGCCCCTATAAGTAATAAAAAAAAAAGGTGATTTTTTTTATACGTCATAAATAAGGTGCCACATATGTGAATTGTAATCAGAACTTAACGTAAACAGAAATTACCTGATATTTTGTAGGTTAAAATTTCTCTTCTTCGCAATTCTTGCATTTTGGACAAGGTTCTGAAAAATGCTAGGCGCTAGTCGGGC